CTTCACAGAAACATTTTTAAAAAGCAACAAATGAGAGACTGGCTACTGTAACTTGATAGGGGCTCTGGGAAACGTCAGCCGTCTACAGCAGCTGAACCATGCACTGCTCAATCAGAAGTTCACATTAGAAGTGGTGGGAAACCTCACGGTGTTCTATTCCCTTCTGCCCCGCCTCTCCAGTGTGCCAGGGTTGGAAGAAGGCAGCGGCCCAGCCCCCAGGGGCCTCCCTCGAAGGGAAGGAACAGAGCAGAACTCACTTGCCCCGCTCTGTTGTGCCTGGGGCTGCCCGAGGGGAAAATGGCCCTTTTGCCTCATTTGTGAGTCTCAGGGAAAAGTGGCTGATAGCTCAGATCTCAGGCTGGGGAAGGCTGCAGAATGAGGAGCCACTGCTCGTAAAAGCTGCAGGTAGACTACAGACCTGGAGGTGCCTGTGCAGGAAGCTATGAGAAGAGGAACAAGCTAATACCTAAGGGCCTGAGAAGCCGGGGGAAATGCTCTGCAAAATTTACATGTGAAAACAGTTATGTATGGGAGGGGGCTCAGAAACGGCGCACAGCCCCCAGGCAAGACAAAGGCCTGGAAAAGAGGAACTTAAGCCTCGGACATCCTGCAGGTCAGTGAGGGTCTTCCCCGGGGTGCAGCAGTTAGAAAATGCTGGGGGAGAGGGTGATTTTTTTCAAATGCCCAGTTTTCAACAGAATATCACCACCAGGCGTACAAGGAGGCAGAAGAGCATGGCCCATCCAGGGGAAGAAAACCGCAGAAGTCGTCCTTGAGAAACCGGCATCAGCTGTGTTAGACAAAGACTGTAAGCCAGCTGCCTTAAATATGCTCAAATAAAATCAGAATTTCAACTATGATAGAAATTATCTTTAGAAAAAACTCAAATTTTGGAGCTGAAAAAAATTAATGGGAAAGTTGAGTAGAGCGATCTTAACAACACTCGTACAGGGAAGATGAACTGTGAACATGAGTCAGGTGAAGTTATTAGGTCTCAGGAGCCAAAACCGCAGAAATGGGAAAAGAGCTCTGAGGACATCATTAAATGGACCAACACACTGTGGGAATCGCAGAAAGGAAGAAAGGGGCAGTGAGATTTGAAGAATTAATGGCAGAAAGCTTCCCAGATTTGAGGAGAGACATGATTCTACAACCCTCGAAGCTCCACACACGCCCAGCGTGTTACACCCAAAGGAACCCACAGACCCCGGAGACACGTTAGCATCACACTGCTGAAACCAAAAGCTTTAAGACAATCTTGAAAGCAACAAAGGTGACTTTTCACATGAAAGCCAGCTTCAGTACAACTGTCAGTGGATTTCTCAGAAATTTTAAGGCCATGAGTGCACTTTAAATGTGTAATTCCTACTGCCTCATGGCCTTAAAGTAAAACCTGGAAACCAAGAATTCTGTACCTTCAACACTGCTTTTCAAAGAGAAATTAAGAGCTTTCCAGATAAACAGCAGCTGAGAGAGTCCATTACCACTACACACCCTACAAGAAAGTCATTCTTTAAATTGAAATGAAAGGCTTTAGACAGTAACTCAAAGGTATAAAAGTATAAATACATGGAGAAATACGAAAATCAGTATTATAATTTTATAGCTTGGTTTAGTAGATAAGTATAAACCTCTCTCGGTGCATACACAATATATTAAAATGTAATTTGTGACGTCAGTAACAAAGCGGTGAAGCTGCAGAGAATTAGTTTTTGGATGTGACTGAAGTTGGTATCATGTAAGATAGATTGTTTATAAACTTTAGGATGTTACATGTAGTCCCTCTAATAACCAAAAATGAAGGAAGGAGATCGAGGAAAGACGAGAAGGGTGTCAAATGCATCACTACAAAAATTTAAATACAAAGGGAGACAACAATGGAGGAAATGAGGGACAATAAAGCTGTAACACATACAGAAAATGAGGAACAAAATGGCAAAAGTCAGGCCTTATCAGTAGTTACTTCAAATGTAAATAGATTAAATTCCCCCACCAAAAGACATAAATTGATGGAATGGATTTAAAAGCAAGATCCAAGGATGTGCCCTCTACAAGAGACTCACTTCAGATCTAAGATCACACGTACATGCAAAGTAAAAGGATGGGGGAAATGTTTCATGCAAACAGCAACCAAAGAGTTACTGCTAGTATCAGTCAAAGTGAACTTGAAGCCAAAAACTGAGAAGACGTAAGGACATGACATACTGATAACCCACTGAGAATATGTAACTATTACGCAAGCACCGAACACCAGAGCTCTAAGGTGTACGACGCACACGTGCACAAAACTGAAGGGTCGGTGGGTCTACAACAGTGGGAGACTTCAATACCCAGTGTCAGTAGTGGATAAAACAGCCAGACAGGATCAGACAGGAGACCGATGGCTGAACACCGCTGAGGCCAAGTGCACTGATCGTGCCACCAAACCAGGTACGCAGCCTCCAGGACAGACCAAATGTTGGCCCACAAAACAAGCCAATAGATTTTAAAAGTGAAATCATACCAGGTATCTTTTCCAATCACAGCTCAATTAAAGTAGAAATCAACAGTGGGAGGAAAACTGGCAAATTCATAAACATGTGGAAATTAGAGACTTAACCAACGGGTCAAAGAAGAAAGCACAAGAGAAATTAGAATGTATCTTGAGACAACTGAAAATAAAAACAAACCAAGATATATGGATGCTGTGAATGCTTACATTTGTAAAGCTCTCAGATCAACCTTTGAACCTTAAAACTACGCCCACAGCTAGAAGGAAGGAAATAAACGAGGAGCAGAGAGACAAAACAGCAACCAGACAGAGCCTCCCACTTGCTGATGTAAAAACCTTACTGCAAAGGTGATCACAACTGGTACAGGCATAAAGTCAGACACAGAGCAGCGGAGCAGAACAGAGCCCAGCAAGAAGCCCTGGCGGAGGTGGTCGGGTTATGTTTGGTAAGGGAGCCGAGGTAGCCATTCAGCAGGGGAAAAGAATCTTCAACAAGTGGTCTTAGGAAAACAGGATTTCCATATGCAAGGTAACAATACTGGATCCTTATCTGACATCGTTTACAAAAGTTGACTTAAATAGATCAAAAACCTAAAGAGCTAAAACTATGAAACTCTTAGAAGAAAACGGGAAAATCTCCCTGACATTAGATTTGGCAGTAAGTCACTGCATATAAAAACAAAAGCACAAGGCATTACAAAGAACTGGACACCAAAATTAAGTACTTTTGTACATCAAAGGACACTATAAAGAGAGCGAAAAGGTAACTCACAGAATGGGAGAAAATACTTACAAATCGTATTTGATAAAGGATTAATATCTAGATGATGTAAATAACTCCTACAGCTCAATACATAAAAGCCACCCAATGAGAAAGGAGCAAGGATCTGAATAAAGACACACAAATGGCCCATAAACACACAAGATACTCAGTATCGCCCCCATTCGGGAGGTGCGCATTACAGCCACAATGGGAGAGCGCTTCAAACCCACTGGGATGATTGTCATTAGAAACAAAGGTAACAAGCGCTGAGAAGGATGTGGAGATTCAACCCCCTGGGCCTTGCTGGTGGCATTGCAAAATTACATGGTCAGTGGAAAAGTTTGGCAGGTCCTCAAAAAATCGACCGTACTTTTCATATGATACACCACTTGCAGTTGTGTGTGTGTGTGTGTCCCCAAAAGATGGACACCACCCAAATGTTCATTGAGAGTAAACATAACGTGGTGTGCTTGCATATAATGGAGTATTATTCAGCCTTAAAAGGAAGGAAATTCTGACGGTCTGAACACATCATGAAGTGAAATAATCCAGACACAAAAGGACAAGTGTAGTATGATTCCACTTTTACGAGGTGCTCAGAGTTAGTCAAATCCATAAAAACACAGAGCCGAATGTGGGCGCTAAAGGTCGCAGAGGAGGGTGTGGAGGGGGAGTCACTGTCTAGTGGGCACAGAGCTGGAGACTTTATGGAGACGAACAGTTGTTATGGCAACACAATGATGTGAAAGCAGTTAATGCCATTGACCTGTGCGCTTTTAAATGGTTAAAAAAATTTTTTGATACATGTATCTTCTACCATAATGGAAGAATTACTCCATAAAACGAAATGTGAACTCAGCCAAAGAGAGTAAGAAAATGAGCAAATAGAGCAACTCAGCAACATGGACTGACCTATAAACAAAATCTCAAATAAACTATGTTATTATGCCGTTAGTACACAGCCCAAAATGGGCAAAGCCAAGCATGCTCTTTAGAAATACACAGTATGGTCCCCGCCCCCCAAAAAAGCCAAGGTGGTAATGACTCCAGAAGACCGGACAGTGTCACCACTGGGGTCAAGGAGGGGACATACAATTTTGTATGGGCACAAAGGTAGCTTTTAAGGTACAAACTCAGGTTTCTTAAGCAGTGGGTAGGTACATGGGTGTTTGTTCTTAGAACTGCAATGTTTTATGTAAACCTTTTCTATGTGGTATTTCACAGTTTTTCAAAAGGCAAAATGAATCCCCCAGCCCAACCCCAACAAAAGAAAGTGACCCTTCTCCATTTTTAACTCCCCAGATGGTTTATCCTCTGGCGTAAGACTGGAAAAATCTAAAAACACCACAGTGATTACTTACCAAGTCTCCTCACTGAGGACTTTCTTCTCAGAATAGCATCCATTCTGCTTTCTCTCAGAAACAAAACGGTTCCACACACTGTTCTCAAAGATGTTGTTAAGACTGTGACGCAGAACAGGCCCACGTTAAGATTTGACCCAGTAAGTCACCTCTCTCAGAACAAAACCCTTCACTGGACATGAGCTAAATATTCTTATGACCTTGTCAGAAAATATCCATACTGTTTCTGTGGTAGGTTATTTAATGTGTTTAAAACACTGTTTTGATGAAAATATGATTGCTGTTCACACTGAATTAACATTACCTAACCAATAAAATTCGAGTTCATTCAGAGCCACCAATGCCAACAGGACTTTGGAATCCCTAAAAATAAAACACACACACAGATAAGTATAGTGTTTAATCGAAATATATGTCTAATATCTACAAAGTGTGAACAGTTGGTCTTAAGAAAGCAGACAAAAGGCACAAAATCAGTATTACTAGAGAGAAGCATTCATGCTACTGAATTTTATAAATATTCTCATTAGAGTGGCACAGTAAAAAATAAATTAAGCAGTGAGCAAAAATCAAATACTTCACTTTTCCCTTGCTTTATATTCTAGTCATGTCTTGACCTCATTTGTAAAGGCTGAGGACTGAAATTCAACTGAAACCATGGGGCACTTATGCAGGCTTTATGTATGTACGTTTTAATCACAGTGGTTTTCTCGCAGTTGGGGCCAACAAGAGGGGTACATTTGAAAAAAAAAAAACCCACAGGAAATTCTTTCCTCTTTCCCCAAACTAAACTCAAGAGTGAGGCCGTGGTTCTGCAGGTGTGTTACGCATGCGTGTATTTAATTTCTAAAGCCCTTTTTCATCATAAAAGTAGTGAAGTCGCCATATGACTCGTTTTCTGCCATGAAAGCAGCTTCTGAAAAATGTATGACGAATGCTTTGAATATGAGAAACTGCCAGAGAGGCGCTGAGACAGGTAGACGGGCGGAAAATTCCAAGGCAGGCCTGGCTCGAGGTTCTCCCAGAGGTGCCCCATCCAGCGGCAAGCGGAGGCTTCTCGCCCCGAGGATGGACAGACAGGTGTTACCGTCGGGAGGGCAGCGGCACTCCCACCGGCAACGGCAGCGACGGCCACCTTCACTTCTACCAGGGACACCGGGGGCAGGTCCAACTCACCTTTGTTTTGACGAGAGTTAACAAAGGAGAACACCTTTGTGAGTGCAAAACATTTTTGGCAAAGTGAAAAATAGAAAACTTCCAACCTCACTGATAAAAAGGAGCCCAAGGTGACCCACTTCGAGATGGGTAGGTGCCGTATTTACACGTGTATAACGCCCAACGGACAGTGTGCGCGTGTGCGCACACCGGCCCCAAGTGGCTCCTGGCATAAATAAGTGAAATCCCACAGGAGAGTCTGGGGGTGCCTTTTTCACAGCACCTCATTTCTCTCTCAGATACCATTTCTTGGATGAGAGCAAGAGGTCTCAGTGAAGACCAGCAGAGCCTCGATACTGTACCACTTTAATTCCTACAAAAACAGGGCTATTTCTGAAAGCGCTGCGCCACCGCCGGTCAGTGCGCCTTCCACAGGGGGTTGAAGTAGACCCAGCCGTCACCCTGTAGGAGAGAGGAGGGGACACTGTCACACGGAGACCTCGGCGAGGCAGGGGAGAAGCGAGGGAACCCCACCTCCGCTCGGGGAGGAGCTAGGACCGCCCAGAGGAGGGCTCGTGACCATCTGTCCGGGGCCGCCACCAGCCTGTGTGTCTGCCTCGCGCCCCAGGTCTCAGCGCCAAGCCAGGCTGGGGGACTCACGACCCTCCTCAGCCTGGCTGCTCTTGGCAGGCAGCCCACGTGAGCTTCACTTCTTGGCTTTTCAGGAGTAAACCCCACGAAATGACCAAAATAACAAAAGACGGGAGTGGGGTGGGGTGGGGCTTTGTTGGTTTACATGAAGGAAAGATTCACTGGCCAAAAGAGCCCTTTAAAACCATAGCAGGACAGAAGGAAAAAGAGGGTTAGCTGGATGAACAGACAGGGAGGGAAAAGAGCAAGGACCGAATAGGAGGAATGTGCCTCCACCAGTGACTGACAGCCCCCGAGCCTGGAGGGGAGCGCCCCACAAAGGGCACACACAGGGCGCAGTCACCACAACATCAGCACACACGGGAGATGACACCAATCCAGCACCAGTCGGAAAAAGGCAAGGATCACAATGGTCCGCGAGCTGTGCTGGACTGGAGGGATACGCTGGACGTGAGAGTCCTGACGCTGGGGCGTGGGGAGGGGTGGGGAGGGTTACTCTTTACATAACCTCAAGCCTCCTAAACAGGCTGGCTTTTATTCCACCGCGGGGGGAAACTGTTTTCTGGTCATCATCCTTTTGTTTATCAACATACAACTTTCCAGGCAAACCAGTCAGAGAAACTAGGCCCACCCCCACAGGGACCCCTGAGGGGTCCCGGGGTGGTTAATGTAATGCGTCTACTTCCCTGGCCGTGGGGTCCCCAGATTAAACACTCTGAGGGAGTCCACGCGTGCGTGTGTCTGTTCTCAGACGAACTGGTGGCTGCAGTAAAGCAGGTCTCCCTCCCCGGGGTGGGAGGGCCCCCTCCCATCTGCTGGGGGCCTGAAAAGAACAAAACGCGTGGGAAGGAGGAAAGTGCCCTTTTACTTCCTGCCTCACTGCTGAGCTCACACCTCATCCCATCTTCTGTCCTGGGATGGGACTCACGCCGTTGGCTCCCCGGGGTCTCGGGCCCTCTGACTGGTACTGAATTGCACCGATGGCTTTCCTGGGGCTCCAGGTGCAGACCGCAGGTCATGTGGCTTTCTGGCCTCCACAATCTCGTAATAAGTCGCTATACATTTCCATCTCCCGTTGATGCTGTGCTGTTTCCCTCGGGAACCCTGACAAATAGAGTCACCTCACCCAGGCAAGGCTTCCAGGTAGGGGCCGCACTCAGAGTCTCCCCAGGCAGGCTTCCCGTCTGAACTGGCATCCGACCCTGACGTCTCCGGTCGGCCCGGAGCCCCAGTTCCTGCCTCTGAGGACAGAGCAGCCGCTTCCTGCTCCCCACCAGAAGCCCACCTCCAGCCTTCCCGCTCTCCCCGCAGCCCTTGCTACACGGCACCCTTCCCAGCAGCAAAGTCAGACACCAGCAGCGCCCCGGCGCGGCAAGCCCAGCCATATTTAAACTGGCTCTCAGTGTTTACATTTTTAACAATTCCTGGACACCATGTGAATATCCAATGCCTCATAAAAATTCAGATTTCTGGCTTCTCGGGAAGGACTGGGCAAACAGTGCGTGATGGCCTGGAGGTTGGTGCCACCCACCCCTTCAGATGCGGACTCTCCCACCTGCCCCGTCCTCATCAAGCTGTTTCTCCCACTGACGCTGCCAGCCTCCGAGGGCCTTCAAAACTGTGGCTCCAACACACTCGCTGTTTCCAGTTCAGTTCTCAACTCGCCCCACTGCTCCACAAACAACGTCAAGATCATAAGTAGATGGGGGGGGCAGTTGTGGGAACAGGGTTTCCGCCTCCCAACGCCACGCCCAGCAGCAGCACATGAGGCGGGGACCCACGTGGGCCCCCCGGGGCCTCCATCCCCTTCGCCCACAGGAGCTGGAAGGTTCCAGCCCAGCCAGGGGTGGAGATGGGCCGTGAGGGGCTTCACGACTAACTTATTGCTGAAGATGGAGCAGCAGGGCTGTGATGTTTCTCTGACCAGGATGGCGTTCAGCTCCGCGGCCCCACTCCTGGCCTCGCAGCGGGCGCCTGGGACCGCCGGCGCAGCTGGAGCGGGGGGCGCGCCGCCCAAGCCTCCCGGGCCCACCCGCCGCCCCGCCGAGGCCGCGGTACCTCCTGGATGAAGTACTTGGGCTGCCAGGGCGCCCGGAGGTTCTCCCGCTTCTGCTCCTCCGCGCGCTGCTTCTCCTCCAGGCGCCGCTTCTGCTCGGTGGCCGCATCAATGTCCCCCAGCCGCAGGCAGCGGGTCACCTCCCGCCAGAGGTTCCTGGGGGTGCGAGAGGGGGACAGTCAGGCGTGGACCCGGGCTGAGGCTGCGGTCCTGGGCGAGGAGGGGCCCAGGCCCTGGGGCAGGATCTGCACCCAGACCTGAACCCCCACTCTTCCGGCCCTGACCAGCTCGCCCTCCTGGGCTCGGAGCGTCTCGGGACCCGTTCAGTGACGACGGCAGCAGACCCTCACCCGGCAGTTAGCATGTTTCTAAGCATTTACATATGGATCAGCTCAGCTGATCATCACAACACCCCAATGATAGACGCAATATTTTCATCCCATTTTAAAGGAGAGAAAATCAAGATCCACGTGAGATGAAGTGACCTGCGCAAGGTCAGCAGGCTGATGGACACGGACAGCAGCCGCTCTCCCAGAGGGAGCCTGGCACTAGGAGTTACAGACACTGTGGGATGCGTCACCTCCCACTGTCTACACATTCACTCACTCACCACTGGAGAAGGCAGCCCAGACGGGCCCCTGCCTGCCCCACCTGCCCAGCAACCTCCCTCATCAAGAACCCCCGGGGCCGCCTCTGAGCCACGCTGGAGGCTGGGGACAGGCACTGAGGTGGACAGCACACTTCCACACTGCCTCACGTCCACGCATCAGGACAAGCCCAGGTCCCGCACAGAGGGAACCACCTGACTTCTCAGCAGCGAGCACTCCCTTCCTGGCTTTGCAGACATGTGGCCGGGCGGTGAGCAGACGCTGCTCATTAAATCCCAGGCCAGGGAGCCCCAGGCAGAGTGCCCAGCCCGTCCAGGGCCGCAGCCCTCCTGGGGGATCTGAGTCCAGGAACTGCCCAGGGCCAGGCTCCAGCTGTAGGCCCAGCCCGTCCGCCACCCCGCACCCCACCACGCAGAGGCCCAAGGAGAGTGGCACCCTGGCTCTGGCTTACAGCTGGAGAAACTTCTGGGAAAGGGTAGAAAGCCAGGTCCCACAGCCTCACCGTCCCTGCTGTTTCTACTGCACCCTGGCAGCTGACTTGGGAGGGGAAAGACCAGCTAGAACAGGCCAGGGAGGTGGGGGAGGAGACAGTGTGCCAACCCTACAACAAAGTTTCCAGGACCCTGCTGCCCCTTGTTTCTTAAACTCAGTTATAAAGTTACAAACTTTTCTTATAATAGCAAACTCTCTTACAGCATTGTACATCATTTCATGTTAATCCTCCTACATCATCTTTCCAAAGAGCAGCATGCTCTGAGTAAGAGCCAGGGCCAGCTTTCCGTCCAGGGTCAGACAGTGAACGTCTGAGGCTCTACCGGACAGTCTCGGTGGCAACTGTTAATCTGTCACTGTAGCAGGAGGCCGGCCACAGGCAGCGCACCCACGAACCCGCGTGGCTGTGCTCCCACAGAACTTCTCACACATCAGCCCGAGGCTAGATACGGCCTGTGGCCCACAGCGGGCTGACCTCCTGGATTAAAAAATGTAAACGGCACATTCCAAGAACGTTCTGCTTCTGCACCAGGGTCCGCATCAGAGGCTACAGTCTGTTCACATGGTACAGCGGGTCCTACATCACCCACTTACAATCGTTCCCCAATCGCCGCAGTTAGATGGGGGACTGTCCCTTTCTTTTGTTGTTTAGTTTTCTTTTCTAAAAAAATACCCAATTTCCATATTTGAAATCTTTTCTGAATTGAAGAATTCTCCCTTAGACTGGATTCTCAGCAGTGGAGTACAAGGTTCAGCTGCTGGCTGCACACCACCCACCAGAAGCACATGGGGCACGGAGTGTCGCTGTTACCACGCCCTTGCCGGCACTGAACTTTTTAAAAAAATTATGCTGCTAATCTGGTAAGAAAAAAAAAAGGATCTTCACTGCATTGTTCTCTCTGTACTTAGCTTTCCAATTAAGCAACAGGCCAGCAGAGCTGACAAACATCAAAGTCTGCTCACTGAGGGCTCCACCCTGTGACTGCAGAACAACTAGACTGGAAACCACCAAGGAGCTACTCCTTAGTGACACACAGGGACCCCCAAGGATCTAAAGAGATTCCTGGTGCACTTCCATTAGCTGAACTTTTTCTATTATTTTTTTAATTGAGGTCCTGGGGATTGAGCCCCGGAACTCGTGCCCTCTAAGCACAGTACCACCGAGCTCCACCCGCCCCCGCCCCTTAGCTGAGCTCTCAAAGCCCCCCCACATCCCTCGGGTCAAGGGCTGAGGACTGTGGAGCTTGGAGATGCGCACAGGGCCTGGTTCCCACCTGGACTCCATGGGGCCCTGCTTCTCCAGGGGGCGGATCTTCTTGGGGTACACCGGCAGCGCGGTCGTGTCGATGACCTTGGTCTCGCCGTTGTTGTACGTGAACTCCAAGGTCCCGTTCCACTCCCCGTGGGCTTTGCACACGATGGTGTTGGTCGGGTTGTGTTTCACTTCTGCTGTGACCCTGAATTAACCGACAGTCGAATGAACATCTTCGCTAGGTTATCAGAGCTGAGGCTGACTTCACAAGGTCTACACACGTAGGGGGAGGGTCTAGCGCAGTGGGAGAGCGTGTGCTTAGCATGTGTGAGGTTCTGGACTCAATTCCTGTACCTCCATTAAAAAAGGGGGGGGGTACACAACACACATTTAGAGATTTTTTTTCTGTGGGTTTTTTCCCCCTTTTGCTCAGGCTAGCTTTTATGTGATCTCATATCCTTGAGCAGAAAAAGGAAGCACTGTTGGGAAAACTGGTGAGCTTTGAATAAAGCCTGTAAATTAGTTAGCAGTAACACAGCAATGCTAATCTCTTGGTTTTGATAGGATGTTATTATTGGGGTAGAAATCCCACAGGTCAGGAAAAACAAAATATACCCTTCTCCTCCCCCAGACAGCATCTAATCGTGCTACAGTTCAACCACCAAAAGAGTGTAAAAGACTTTTTCAGTCATTGAACAAGGTCCGTCTCCTTCAGCCCGGCTTTCCAGGGCCCTGGTGGAGACCTGTGACCTCACGCCTCACCTGCCCGGCCCGAGGGGGGTCTGGTCTCAGCCCTGGGCGAGCAGATCTAGGAGCCGCTGCAAAGCAGCAGCAGAAACAGGAAGTGTAGGAGTCCAGCTCCTCTTTTTCCTAATGGCTGTGCTCAGGATGAGTTTGGAGTTTTCAAACACAGGCTTGGAAGCCTTCCCAAGCCCAAACACAGCCACAGGTCCTGGAGGACTAGACCCAGGCTCACGGGTGACATCAGGAACCCTCCTGGCTGCACCCACCGCACGGGTGTCAGTGGGACGCTGGGGCAGGCTGAACAGCGGGCTCTCCCGGAGAGAAACACCTGGTCAGCATCTGCCAATTTCTGTGGAGCGGGCCCCCCACCCCACCCCACAGCAGGGGCTTGCTCCCACCGCGGAGGCACGAGAGACCGCAGAGCTGGGGAGAAATGCACAAGATCAGCCCTTGTGAGCCAGGGCGTCTGGCTCCAAAACGGCCACGGAGGTGCCCACTTTCCAGGGGACACTCCAACACCCCCTGTGAAAGCCACACAGGAAAGCTTTCCAAGAAAAGGAGCAAAGATGGGAGCTGGCTTATCAGAGATCTGCTCCACGGGGGGGTTATAAGTGGAACCATTCATGCGTCCCTCAAATGGCGGGCCTCTCCCTTCAGTTTCTTAGCATCTGCTTCTCAGCCTCTAAATGGGAAGAATCGGTCCTGTGCTCACAGAGGATGCGAGATGCTGAGCGCAGCAGCGCCCAGAGCTCAGCGCACCCACGAGGGCCGGCTGCGCCCTCAGGAGGGAGAGCTCACAAAAACCAGATGCCCTTTACTCTCGGGGGCATGTTCTGCCAACACACCACCAGCGATGCCACTGTAAGTGTAGACTGAGGAGGGTTCAGAACACAGCCACATGAGACGCGTCCTCGGAAAAAGATCTGTTAACTTTCTCTTGATTCTCAACTCATGCCATGACTGGAACCTGATCTTCTGCTGGAGAGAAGAAACCCGGAGCAGAAATAAGACAAAGAAGGAGACTGCCCGGCCGCCTCCTACCTGTGGACCTTCCCCCCGTAGAAGGGCTTCGTGTGGAATATCACTGTTGCTGAGTACCCGGTCTTGGCACAGCTGATGCTGACTTTTCCTCCAAGCTCCACCCAGGGGATGGTGAGGATGGACCGGGCATAGGCGCTGGGCAGGGTGAACACGTACTCCTCCCCGTGCTCCAGGAGCCGCAGCACACCTCCGAGGAGAGAGGACGGCAGTTAGGCACACAAGGAAGGGCGACAGGGACCAGGAGACACGGCCATGACAGACCAAACACGCTCCCACAATGGACGTCACACCTCCCACCTCTGCAAAGTTCTGGCCACCCGCCTGCCATTCATCTGTTCATTGCATCTCTACTGTGTGGGAGCCACCGAGAACACAAGGGGAACCAGACAGACCCACTCTCTGCCCTCAAGGAGCAGAACAGAAAGATGGGCATTAATGAATCACCAAACAAAATTGTAATCGTGAGGTGGGAGGGCCAGGTGCCCGGGGACCCAGGAGCAGCTGACTAGGAGAGGTTCCCTGAGGAAGGGACAGGCAAGCTGGATAAGAGGTGAGTAAGTGAAGAAAGGAGGGAAAGTATTCATGCTGGGGAAGTGCCTGTGCAAAGGCCCTGTGGCAGGAAGGAGCCCGATGAGCACGAGGGGCTGAGCAAAGGGACCCATGCAGAAGGGGAGGTGGCAGGTATAGGTGGGGAGGCTGCCGGATCCACTGGGGCCAGACCTTTAAACTTGGGAAAAGCACACTTTTATCCTGAGAGCCACAGAAACAAACTCAAAAGTTCTCAGAAAGTCGGTGAAACCAGACTGGACAGCTGTGGTCACAACCCAGGGGAAGCCACCCGCCCCTTGATCAGGGGTTCCCTACCCCAGGATCCAAGCACTAGGCTTGGAGAGGTCTGATCCTCCTGAAGCAGAGCAGAATTTCGTGGGTTTGTCTCTTTTTCTTGGGACAAGGGCCACTGCTTTTATCAAGTTCTCAAAGGCCGACGTGACCACCCCCAAAGGCACCATCTCCCAGGGCTGCTATATAGTCCCTGCACTGAAATCCAGCCCTTGCTCCAGCTCTTCTGGTCAGGCACCCACAGGGCCAGCATTTCAAGTCACTCTGGGGCCCATGCAGGCTGGCAGAGGCCAGGGGACCAGGGCCCTGCCCTCTGAGGTTTGCTCTGAGCAAGCAAACCAAACCTTCGTCCCGACACGTGAGCAGGGCTGTTAGTGACACCCCCGCCCTGGGCTTCCAGCTCTTTCTCTGGGAAGAGTGAGGGGCGGGTTCCGTGCATCCACAAGGACCCTCTTCTGGGCGCCAGGCATTTCTGGGGGCTTCGCAGGCATTGTCCCTTAAGTGTCACAACTACCCAACAGGGCACTGGTTATCATCCTTTTTAAATAAGGATGAGGCACAGGAAACTCAGAGAGCTGAAGTAACTTGGCCAGTCGGTGCTTCTGTCTCAGGCTAGACAAGCATCTAAGGAGAGCGGGAGTGTCCCTGGCAGAGGACACGGTGCATGTGTTCCTGTTACCCTGGAAGCTAGCCTGGGAGCCTGGGGACAGATGAGACAACACTGCACAGAGGAGTCACCAACGCTGAGTTTCTGAAGCCACTGTGAGGATGTGTTCCAGTGTAATTCCATTTACCCTCGAATTGCCCAGGAGCCACAGTTTACAGACACACTAGGCTTGTCCGGAACCAGCCACCTCACTCCCAGTTAAGTCCTGCAATGTCAGTCCTGCTGACCCACAGCAGGAGTGTGAGCCTCACTCTCCTGTGTCCAGGGGTCTTGCTCTCCCCTAATGTGGCAGGGCGCTCACACACTTGGGCCCAGGCTGGACCTAAGACCCACCCCCGACAAGAAAAAGCCAACCCAGGGGTCACCCATAATCCCTTGGGCAGGACTGGGAGGGGTACCACAGCGACATTTAACTCTGTCTCTCCCCCAACCAGGGGTATAATGAACACCCATAACACGCATGCACACTGGCAGGACTCCACTGCACCAAGTACCCCGAATATCACAGCACACAGACTCCTCCCCACTCCCTGGACCTGCCGGAGCCCTCACAGTCAGATTAAACCATCTCCCTCAAAGCCAAGCCTCCAGCCCCCGCTCTCTCTGACACCCGGCCCTCCTCCCAGACTCAGGGAACAGAGCTGCTCCCGGTGACCCTGGAGGTCTGGTCCCAGGATACCGACCGGTAAGGGAGGATCTGAGTCTGAGAGAATTTGGCACTGATCTGTCGGTTCGTACGGCTTCTGCTTAGGACCTTTGGAGAAGAAAGGCCAAGTCTGGAACACTGTTTTCTTAAGTTAAGTTGCTAAGAAGACAGCAAAGGGAGGAGGGTATAGCTCAGTGGTAGAGCGCGTGCTTAGCATGCACAAGTTCCTGGGTTCAAACCCTGGTACCTCCATCAAAAAACATAAACAAGTAAACCTACTACCTCTCCCCAACCCCTTAAAAAAAGGTTTACTTTAAAAAAAAAGAAGACAGCGATGCAGGTGGGAAGTTGCTGCCAATGGCAAACCGGTTTAACACCCACAGACCACAGGAACAGGAAGTGAAAGTTGAAGAGAGAGGCCACCTGACTTCCCTCCCTGCCCCACCTCTGCTCACCAGCCTCTGGCTCCCTGCGTGCCAGCGCACTCTCATCCTCTCAGAGCTGTGGCAGCTGCAGAGGCCCTAAGAACCCACAGAGGAGCCGTCCCTCAGTCTCCCCGCCCCCCAGGGCCCAGAGAAGGCGGCTCTCCATGCCCCCATCCCTGACCCCTGTGCTACTGGACCATGTGGCAGTAGAATCCTCCCAGGTGGCCCACGTGTCCCCTGACAGCACCATCTCACCCCGATGTCTACGCTGTCCCCCTCTGTGGTCAACCCTCCAGCCTTTCATTGGCAGTACCTTGGGGACCCCTGCCCACCTGAACATCCTGCCAGCGGCCTCTCCTTGCAGACAGGGCCACATGCCGAGCCTTCCTGGTCTCATCCACAAATATAAACCATGTGAGGCAGGGTTACACAACTGACAGTTTTTTAGAACATATTTACAGGGAACACATGCCACAGTTTTTTTGAAAGACCTAGACGAAATCTTACAGGACCATTCCATGTCCTCCGTCACTTGCCAGCCTGGTGACCTGAACTTGTCTGCACCTCAGATGCCTCATCCATGATGCAGGGATAATGGTACCTGAGCCTCACGGGGCTGTGGTTAAGGATGTAAAGGCAATACTGAACTCAGCTAAACACATATGGCCCCATATACCGCCCGAACCCCGAAATTTCTATCCTAATCACTCCTCACTCTCTGATAGGTGAATTCTGAGCAGCAGTGTTTCCACTTGGGAACAAAGAAGAAATGACTGTCTGGTGGTGGGGTACGCACCTCGGGGATGAGGGGACAGGTGGGAGGCAGCCTCCTCCCGCTCACTTTCAGAAAAACCTCTTCCAACATCCAGAAGGACAACAAGCATAAGAAAAGGTGCGTAATTTAGCTAATTATCAGAGAAATGCAGTCAAAACTCCAATGAGGCATCACCTCACACAGTCAGAATGGCCATCATTTAAAAAGTCCATAAATGATAAATACTGAAGAGGCTGTGGAGAAAAGGGAACCCTCCTACACTGCTGGTGGGGATGCAGTTTGGTGCAGCCACTATGGAGGACAGTATGGAGGTTCCTCAAAAAACTAAAAGTAGATTTACCATATGATCCAGCAATCCCACTCCTGGGCATACATCCAGAGGGAACTCTAATTTGAAAAGACACCTGCACCCCAATGTTCATAGCAGCCCTATTTACAATAGCCAAGACATGGAAGCAACCTAAATGTCCACTGACAGATGACTGGATAAAGAAGCTGTGGTATATTTATACAACGGAATACTATTCAGCAATAAAAAAGAATGCCATTTGCAGCAACATGGATGGACCTAGAGATTATCATATAAAGTCAAGCCAGTCAGACAGAGAAAGACAAATATCATATGATGCCACTTAGATGTGGATTCTAAAAAAAAAAAAGATACAAATTTATTTACAAACCAGAAATAGACCTACAGACATAGAAAACTGTGGTTACCAGTAGGGAAAAGGGAGGGAGGGATAGATTAGAAGTTTGGGATTAACAGAGACACACTACTATATACAAAATAGATAAACAGCAAGGACCTACTATATAGCACAGGGAACTGTATTCAATATCTTGTAATGAGCTGTAATGGAAAAGAAACAGAAAATACATATGTATGTATGTATGTATGTATATGTATAAATGACTTGCTTTGCTGTACACCTGAAACTAACATTATAAATCAACTACACATCAATTAAAAAAAGAATTTACAAAAGAGACAAAAAAAAAAAGAAACTCTTCCAAACAAAGGTGAAATTTCCCGCAAGTCCACAGAAATTGGAAAGCAAGCCCGAAAGAAGGCTAATTGGAAGGCACTGGCGAGACTACACTCCTGGCTCTTTTCTGAAAATCCATAAATATGCCCTCACTCATTAAATCACCGGAAATTATGATTTCTCAGGACGAACTGTTTTTTTCAGGGTTGCATAAAAAGTCTGTCCCTAATATGAATAAAAGACTATATTAAAGCCAGACTTGCAACTGGGATCACACATGAAAGCTCCCTTTTAATTAGCCGGAGAGCAGGGAGAAGCTGAGAAATGCCAACTGATCAATACTCCTGGGTCACAGTCAGTCCCCAGGCTGGGAGATTTTCACTTTAAATCCCACAGATTGATTTAATCAATAAACATAGAGCCAAGCATTAAGATCTCCAAAGTGATACATTTAAAACATTTTAAGGAACCAAAATACGCCAACAGGACGTTGACCGTGGAAAGAAAGCAACTCTGGGGAACTGGTCTGCGGGCTGGACAGCAGGGACACTCGTGGGCAGACGTGTCACTGCTCTTACTAGAACTGCCCACCCCCAAGACCCACTTCAGAGGCTGTGCCATTTGCTGGGCACTGTCCTGCAGGCTGGGGGGGGAAGGGGTCTCAAGAACAGCTGGGTGAGCTCGTCTCCCCCGCAGTGCGGGTGGGTGCTGAGTGGGGCCTTTGCCTCCTTCCTGGGGTAGGGGGGGGACATCCTCATGGGGTTGGCTACACAGGGTCACATTCAAGCCTCTGAGCATCAAAGCAAGGACCACAAGGGGAGGGAAGGCCATCTCAGTGTGGCAACCTG